ACCAATCACCTTTGTTGTTTGTGCAACTAACCAATCATAAATAGAAAGGATGTGACCAGAAATGATCCGAAATACTTGGAATCGGCTCTTTCACAGGAAGTGTATGAATATCTCGAGGAACTTGATCAAATGAATTGGTCAGCCCGAGGTAATGTATTGAATCAATATTTGAGCAACACTTCAATTGGAACGACAGTAAAGGCAGCATTCACTACATTTTACAGTAGGTAACCTAGTATATTCAAGTATCACATGTGTGATCACTGCAAGATGTTTCGAATTCGGCTGATTACAACAACATCAACATTGCTTAAACATTATTACCAACTCAGTCTCGCCCGAGAGGGATGGCGACCTTGTTTCGGTGATATCGACTGCTACCTTCAATTGGACCCAACAGGAATGTATGTAGGTGCGCTGAATGATAAACCTATTGCAACGTACTCAGCCATAAAATATGCAGATGGCTACCGTCATCTTGGCTCTTATATTGTCAAAGAGGAGTATCAAAAGCTTGGACATGGACTGAATTTAGAGGAATCCTGCCTAGCCAACTCTGCTCCTATTAAAAATATGTCGCTATATACGACTCCAGAGATGGCCAGAAAGGTGGAAAAAAGGCATGCGATGATTTCTCGCTGGCCTGTGGGAATATACGATCTTAACATTTCGAAAGCTCTGGATAAACTCCGCGAATATAATTCAGATAGCTGTGAAGTGAAGCATATTAACGAAATCAATATGCAAGATGTTTGCGACTACGATACAGATGTGTTTGGATACAACCGGATCAAGTTTTTAGAAAAATGGCTGAATACACCCGGCGCTCACGCACGCGTCGCAGTTAACAAAGAAGGATCGATCGTCGGCTATGTAGCTGTGAGATTGGCATTCTTTCAAGACGAAGGCCAGGGGCGGATCTAGGGGTGATCAGAGCGATCACGCGACTAAGGTAAAAAATGGGCAGAAAATTGTTAAATTAAAATAGCAGTCCAGTTATCAAACTTCGCGCAGTGTATTGTATTGAAAGTTTAACAGTCCAGTTCTAAGATATCATC